TTTTTTTTTTTTTTTTTTTTTTTTTTTTTTTTTTTTTTTTTTTTTTTTTTTTTTTTTTTTTTTTTTTTTTTTTACGAGAGAGATTAAATGGGTCTCCATGGAAAAAAAAATTGAATTAGAGAGAGAATCCAATGACTTTGACTCTTTTATTTTTAAATTATTTTAATTCTAACGTTATCCTAATATAATATGCTAGTAATGAGTCGATCTATTAGTCCTAGCTCCACATCGAAGGAGTATGAGGGGGTATGCAGGTATGTGGGAGAGGGCGTGCGGGAGCATGTGGGCAGTCTTTTAGGTTGAGGGCCTGTATGGCATGAGCATGCTTGGGATTTTATACAATTGGGCGCCCATAGGCTAACCTATGCATCTTTCTCGTTAACACCCAAACTCACACCAAGCGAACGCTCGCATGTACTTGAGATGATCTTGCATCAAAACCCCTAAAAATATAGGAATTCAAGAAAAATCCTACGGAATGATTTGGGCTTAGAATTGGGCTATTATGGGTTTTAGGTCAAAGCCCATATCCTCATCAAAAGCCCAAAGTTTTCTGATAAGGCCCATTTATGTCAATGGTAAATAAATATAGTTACTGTAATTTGTAAATATTTAATATTGAAGTTTTAGGAGATTTTAGTTAGATGTAATATGTATGGTAAATAAATATATTTTTTAAAAATAACTAAAAAATTTAACTGGACGCGACCCGAAAACAGAGAGTTTTTGTGAACCCTTTTTCTTTTCTATATATATAATAATTCTATTCCCTTCGTTTAATTAATTTCTGCACGTAAAAAATTCTATAAATATTTTATAAATGAGAAAAAAAAAAGTAAATAAGAATCGAAGCATGATCCTCGAGACCTTAATGTGTCGGTATACAACTTAGATTTTTTTGAACATTAATGCAACCGTGCACAAGTAGGTAAGTGTCTCGAGACAAAAAACGAGACCTTACCAATAATTATATATATCCTCACCAACTTTATCAACACGTTCAAATCGATAATATTTTCAAGGATACGTTCATTAAACCCTTCGGTCCAGTACTCGTCGAGATTTTGAGCAACAAAATTAGACGATGGGGTATAGGTTCATTGGCCAAAGTAGTGGTGCCCAAGTTGTCTGATATCTTAAAACCATTCACATAATGTTGAAAAGGAAGAAGTGCAACTTAGATATTATAAAGTACATCAAAAGATTAGTAGTTCACAACTGCTCAATTATTTTGATCCCATGAAACCATATAATATTAATTGGACGGCTCCTTTGTTCCCCTAACAACTTTAGGCCCATGAATAATTAAATAAATAAAAATAATAATAAATGCTTATAATTTCCTTTCGTCACCTAAATATCGACGGATAGATTTAACCTTTATTGGATGAAAAGAAAAATCCACATCAGCTAATTCAGAGAATGATCATGGGTTTATAGTCTATGAATACTACCTCCATAGTACGAGGTCTTTTGGGAAGCCCAAAGTAAAGGTATGAGAGATTATGCTCAAAGTGGACAATATCATATAATTGTGAAGAGTCGTGGAGTCATACCCTAAATTTAGTCATGTCAATAGAATTCTTAAATGTCGAACAAAGAACTCCAAAAGGAGGCTACTCGAAGGCATAATAAAAAATGACTAAGACTCCAAAAGGAAAGGAGTCTAGCCTTGATTAAGGGGAGACGTACTTTGTTCGATGGGAGGTGTAGAAAAGTCTCACATCGGCTAATTTAGGGAATGATCATAAGTTTAGTTTATAGTCTAGGAATATCTCCATTGGTACGAGGTCTTTTGGGGAACCGCAAAGCAAAGTCAAAGTCATGAGAGCTGATGCTCAAAGTGGACAATATCATATCATTGTGAAGAGTCATGTTCGTCTAACATGGTATGAGAGCCATACCCTAAACTAAGTCATGTCAATAGAATCCTCAAATGTCGAACAAAGGACTCCAAAACGAGGCTCCTCAAAGGCAGAAAGGAGTCGAACCTCAATTAAGGGGAGGTGTAGGGAATGATCATGGGTTTAGGTCTAAAATGAGCGGATTAAAAAATCTAATTAGGTTAAATTTGATTTATTTTTAACAGAAAAAAAAGTGATTAAATGAAAGTTATTAGGGATAAAAAGTCAACCAACCACCAAAGTGAGTGAGGCCGAAAGAGCTAACAGCCCACGTGAAGCACTCATTCATGGAGGTCCCATTTGCATTTAAATCATACCTTTTTCTTTTGTGGTAATAACATTATTTTTTGTCCATTTTTATAAATTATTTGAATTTTAAATGAAAATAAATAAATAAAAATATCAGAGATTTATTACACAAATTCAAAATTTATAACATTTTAAAACCAATAATATATTATATAGTTTAATAATGAATGATAACTATAGAGTAGTTGCCAAGCATTAATAATGGCAATAATTAATGCCTTTTATAGTGGCAAATATATCAAGAGAATTATCTTTTTAATCAATATATTTAAAATTATTATTTGAAAAATGTGAAAATATTTCAAATCAATTAAATTAAATACTTTAATTTACATTAATTTTTTTTATTTAAATAGTTAATTCTCAAAGAAACCTCCTTTTAAATTCATAATAAAAATGTCAAGTTCAAACAAATAAAATTATCCAAGTCATCACAAGATTATTATTATTATTATTATTATTTTTTTTTTTGAGAATTTGAAATTTTAATATTATATATAATTACAATAAGAATATTATCACTCAAATTGATAGAAATAACAGTAATTAATTCACTTATAAAATTAAAAAATAGTAATAATAATATTTATTGCATTTTCTTGAGCAGGAATTCGTTTGTAAGATTTTAATATCTCATAAAGTGGATCGTCCTTTTATGCTTGAAGAAGCACACAAGGTCTGAAAATGGAGGGCAAAGGCAATGAATTTGAGAAGAAACCAATTCGTGAGAGGAATCTATAATACAGTAAACTTTTGCCTTATGGCATACGAAACGATGCAGAAATTCAATTTTCTCAGTCTGGGCAGTGAAAACGACGAGACCCATGACTGGATAAACTAAAGGAGGGGCGTGCGGCAGTTAATTTCTCAGATCTGTCGGATCCTCTCATGGTGGATACTGGATTCAATTCAAGTTGCAGAGAATCGTAGGGCCATGGAAAACGATTCTCGCTTTTCTGATAGAGCCTGCTTCAGAATCTGAACTAATCTTGCAGTGAACTAGTTTTCATTTTTTTTGTAGAGCTCGGAAGGTGTTCGATGAAATGACCGACAGAGTTCGGTTGATTTATCTGTGCGGGCCGGCGATTTTTCTATGTGAATTCATCAGGTAGTGCGGTAGTTATAGGGTGGATGATCAGATTTTTAACAGATTCCTTGTGCTCGGAAGGTGTTCGACGAAATTACTGAATGAATTTTTGTAGATTTAGCTGGACCTGCGTGGGCAGCATTGAGTGGAGTCTACAGACTAGGCATGGAAAATGAAGACATTTGGCGTATACGTCACTTTCCTCTCAGTAAAAATAAGGTAACTTCTTTCTCTATCTATCCAATTCTCAAAAGAAAGTTGAAAAAGCAGACAAAATTGCACCAATCAAGGGGCGTAAAAATGATGCGTTTTGGATGAAAAAGTTCCCTGCTAGGCTACCGACTCGTGTGTGGGACCAAATTTTTTCAGAACTTTGGAAGATGACAAAAGGGGGAAAAAGTACACCATTATAATTCCCCCCAAAAGCTGCGTAGTGGGAAAACAATGGCCTAATGGCCTAATTCTCAAGCGCCTATTCAAGCTTTAGTAGCCATCTTAACCTCACTCAACTAGTAGCCATCTTAAGCTCACTATTAGTAGTTATTGTCTATTTTAGCTCGTTATATATTGATTAGAGAAGAGATTCCTTACAAAGGTGTGAAAGACTCCCTAAGAAACACGTTTTAAAACGTGAGGATGATGACGATACGTCATGAGTCACTAGTGTTGGACTTAGGCCGTCACAAATGGCATCAGAGCCAAACAACGAGTGGTGTGCCAGTAAAGACTCTGGTCCCTAAGGGAGTGGATTGTGAGATCCTACATCGGTTGGATAGAGAAACGAAAAGAGTGCGGAAACCTCTCCATAACAAACAAGTTCTAAAACCGTGAGGTTAACAGCGATACTAAACAGACAAAAGCAGATCTTATCTAAGAGTGGTGGACTTGAGCTATTACATGCTTTAGACTAAGCCCCAACTATCAATTCTACTTCACCCACCTGTGCAATTGTTGAACTAAAAAAACTCGACAACTATAATTTAACGGGTTATTGTTGAACTAAAAGAACTCGACAACTATAATTTGATGTAACCCGTCAACCAGACTTGGGCAAGCTCGGACAATTTTCAAGCTGGAATAGTCAAGCTTGAGGGCTTAAACTTCTCGATTGACCAGTAAAATTGATATGGACAGGAAAAATTATTACTAGATCAAACGAAAAAGAAGTTAAGGGGTTGATGTTGATGTAAATTTGATTGAGTTGAAAAGAACTCTGCTTGTCTAACTCTCCTTGAACAGGGATATGAATGAACAGGCAGAAACCCAGTGAGGTTTGATGGAAGCCTAATGAAAAAGATTCACAACAGGAAAACAGAGGATTCTGAAGATGAACAGACAGCAACAACAACATTCAAGGTAATATAATCTGAATTCAGACACTCTGATACAAGTAAATTGTTCATGATTATACTATTAAATTGGAAAACAAAAGTATAATGAAGAGAAAAATAACAGGAAAAAGGAAGAAAAGAAAAAAAAAAACCCACAAACCAGAAAGGCAGCAGTAGTAGCAGAAACTACTGCTTTCCCATTGTCTCTATACATACAACTTTTTTTTTTTTTTGTTCTATTTTGTTGAAACATAAACATTCTCTGCGCTTCTCCTACTCTTCTCTGCCATTTATTTCACAAATTCAAATATCCATAACAATTCAAACAAATAAGAAGAGATTTTCCCTCTTACCTCAAACTGTGTGTGTAAACAAGTGACGTTTGTAAGAGAGAAGAACATGGCATGGCCGCTTTTAAGTTGCAGAAATAAATATAATCCTTAAAAGTCTATATTATTCTTCCTCAGAGGAGGAAAAATAATGGAGATTGGGAAACTTTTAGTGCATTGAAGAAGATTAAAAGAGGGCATGGTGTGAATTTCTCCTTCTTCTGTGCTTGTGTTTGAGGTAAGGTTAGAGGAGGAAAATTTCTCAAAAGAATCAATAGTAGGGTGGAGGTGGGGGAGAGGCGTACGAAACTCCATAGATTGGTGGTAGTGGGCCATCGTATACAGGTGATGGTGGTGGTGATGCAGGTGGTGGTGGTGGAGATGGTGATGGTGGTGGTGGGGGAGAGTAATAGACTGGCGGAGGAGGTGAATGGTAAACTGGGGTGGGAGGCGGTGGTGGTGGGGGTGAAGGAGACGGCGGAGGAAGGTATTGGATGGGCGGAGGTGGTGAGGGTGACGGTGGTGGTGGGGGTTCATGATACTCAATACATGGTGGCGGCGGAGGTGGAGGAGGCTCTATACACGGTGGTGGGGGGGGCGGTGAATAGACTGGTGGAGGGGGAGAATAGACAGGTGGAGGAGGTGGGGGAGATAAGTAAGGATAGATTGGCGGTGGAGGTGAATGTGGTGGAGGAGGCGGCGAGTTGGGAGGTGGAGGAGGAGAGTACAGTGGCGGCGGAGGTGGAGAGTTGGGCGGTGGTGGTGAATTGTAGTAGTAAACAGGTGGGGGTGGTGAGAACAAGGGAGGAGGAGGTGGGGGAGAGTTTGGTGGTGGCGGTGGGGGTGATGGACGTACACAATACACCGGTGATGGTGGGGGAGGAGAAGGCGGTGGAGGAGATGGTGGGGGTGGTGAGGGTGATGGCGGTGGGGGCGATGGTGGTGGGGGTGATGGTGGTGGAGGTGATGGTGGAGGCGGGGGTGGAGAGTAAACCGGTGGGGGCGGTGGTGGTGGTGATGGCGGTGGAGGTGATGGTGGAGGCGGGGGTGGAGAGTAAACCGGTGGGGGCGGTGGTGGTGGTGATGGCGGTGGAGGTGATGGTGGAGGCGGGGGTGGAGAGTAAACCGGTGGGGGCGGTGGTGGTGGTGATGGCGGTGGAGGTGATGGTGGAGGCGGGGGTGGAGAGTAAACCGGTGGGGGCGGTGGTGGTGGTGATGGCGGTGGAGGTGATGGTGGAGGCGGGGGTGGAGAGTAAACCGGTGGGGGCGGTGGTGGTGGTGATGGCGGTGGAGGTGATGGTGGAGGCGGGGGTGGAGAGTAAACCGGTGGGGGCGGTGGTGGTGGTGATGGCGGTGGAGGTGATGGTGGAGGCGGGGGTGGAGAGTAAACCGGTGGGGGCGGTGGTGGTGGTGATGGCGGTGGAGGTGATGGTGGAGGCGGGGGTGGAGAGTAAACCGGTGGGGGCGGTGGTGGTGGTGATGGCGGTGGAGGTGATGGTGGAGGCGGGGGTGGAGAGTAAACCGGTGGGGGCGGTGGTGGTGGTGATGGCGGTGGAGGTGATGGTGGAGGCGGGGGTGGAGAGTAAACCGGTGGGGGCGGTGGTGGTGGTGATGGCGGTGGAGGTGATGGTGGAGGCGGGGGTGGAGAGTAAACCGGTGGGGGCGGTGGTGGTGGTGATGGCGGTGGAGGTGATGGTGGAGGCGGGGGTGGAGAGTAAACCGGTGGGGGCGGTGGTGGTGGTGATGGCGGTGGAGGTGATGGTGGAGGCGGGGGTGGAGAGTAAACCGGTGGGGGCGGTGGTGGTGGTGATGGCGGTGGAGGTGATGGTGGAGGCGGGGGTGGAGAGTAAACCGGTGGGGGCGGCGGTGGTGGTGAAGGCGGAGGGGGAGACGGGGGAGGTGGGGGTGGAGAATAAACTGGCGGTGGTGGAGATGGTGGAGGCGGCGGGGGAGAGTAAACAGGCGGCGGAGGGGGAGAGGGGGATGGAGGTGGCGGAGGGCGTGGTCGGTAAATGGGATGTGATTCGGAAGTAGGTGGCGAAGGAGTGGGAACAGGTGGCCGCGGCGACGGAACAACAACAGGTGGCGGAGAAGGCACCGTTACAGGTGGCGAGGGAGCAACATAAGTAGGACATCCAAAAGAACTGCAATCCACAGGCTTAGACAAGAACGACTTACATTGCCTCTCAGACCGCTGTACCGGCCGCTCAGGTAGACAGTTCCTCCGGTCATCAAAATCCGGCAAAGCCAAGCACGACGGCGCCTCTCCCGTAAAGAAATTGTAAGAGTAAGTAAAGTTCTGCAGATTCGGCAATTTACAGATACTCCCCGGAATCTTCCCAGACAAGAAATTATGCGCCACATTCAGCTGCTCTAAACTCACCATTCCGCCGATCGTCTCCGGCAAACTCCCAAAAAACTCATTAAAACTCACATCAAACACCGTCAGATTCTTCAGAAACCCAATCTCCGACGGCAAACACGATCGAAACCCATTATTCATCAGAATAATCTCATTCAATCTCGTCATATTCCCAATGCTCCCCGGAACACACCCATGAAATTTGTTATTCGCAAGAACAATAACCGAAACTGGCGAGTTCCCGAAATTTTCCGGCAAGTCAAACCGGAATCTGTTATGGTTGATGAAAATGGCGTCCAAATCCTTGTCGAAAAGCTCCTTGGGGACAGTTCCTTCAAACTCATTAAATCTCAGATCCAAAAACTTCAGCTCCGGCAGCTCAAGAACCACCCGAGGGAACTTTCCGGCGAAGCGATTGTTGCTCAGATCCAACTCAAACAACCGCTTCAAGTTCTTGAACTTGTGAGGAACAGTCCCACAGAAGCGATTCGAGTTTACATGAAACAATGCAAGATCCACAAGAAGACCAAGCTCCTCCGGTAAGTAACCGGCAATGTCGCCATGGTTGAGGTCGATACCGGCGACCGTACGGATCGAGGAATTATCCGGCGCCGGAGCACAGAAAACCCCATTGTAGCTACAAACATCAGATCCAACCCAATTCTGAGTGAGATTGAAAGGATCAGAGAGAATCGCTTGCTTCCAAGCTTGTAAGGCTATGTAAGCATTTCTTATTCTGTCGTTTTCAAAAACAAGCTTGGGATCGACGGTGACTTCTTCACCGCGGTCGCCGAATTCGTCTCTGACGGAAAGGAGTTGGCGCTGACGGATGTAGTGAGCTTCGGCGTCGGTGAGGCCTCGGCCTGGGCCGCCATGGCCGGAAAGTTGAAGAAGCTCCCCAGAAACAGCAGAGGAGAGGCAGAAAAGAGTGCCGAAGAAGAGGAAAATTTGGAAGAAAAGATGAATGTTGAAATGGGAATGGGTCTTCATCTCATATGAGAGACATCTGATTCCACAAACTCCCACTTTCTTCAGCTTTCTTCCTTCCTTCCTTCCTTCGCTAAACCCTTTCTCAAACAGAATGGCGGATTTTCCTTTTCTTTTGGGTTTATTTTTTTTGCAGGAAAATTCTGAAATCCCTTGTTTCTTTGAGATCTGAGCTTCAAAATGTGGGAGAGAAAGATAAAGAGGGATTTCAGAGGTTTGTGTGTGTGAGCCTGTGGGGGAGAAATAATACGTGAAAAAAGGGACAGCTATATTACAGCTCAAACCCCACCAGATTCTTTTTTCTTTTTCCATTTATTTATTTTCAAAATTATTCCTTTTTTCCTTTCTTAGAATTTATTCTCTTTTTTATTTCTTTTGCTTAAATTCCTTCAAATTTCCTCTTTATTTTACTCTTCTAGAATTTTAATTTTGTGAATAATACAGCTTCCACCCATACGAATCTATTAAACACAAAATTAAATATTTTAAATCTTATTAAACATAAAATTATATGTATATATTAATTAGTTATCTCGATTAAAATTCGAAATTTGATGGAATAAATTCATAGTTTTTTTTTTCTTTTTGTATTTTTTCATATAAAAAAATCATTTCAATCATTACTCCTTATTATTTTAATAAATTATTTGACTAAAAAACTATTTAACTTAATAATAGAGGTCTGATTCTTATATATATATTAACCAAAAAATCATTGAAAATTAGGGGGCTAATTTTTAAATGTATTTAAGTTATCAAATTGGAAATGATAAATCAATATTGTTTTCATATTAACAAATTAATAATGTCATGAAATAAATGGAGTAAATATGAAAAAATATGATTTTTTTTTATTTTTTATTTTTTATAATTTGAATTGGTATGCCATTCGTTTTTAGTTGTATACTATTCTCATTCCTATTCTTCCTTCAACTCTCCAAGCCAACGCATAGAATAAACCATGTATGAAATTACAAAAATGCCCACATCATCTTTGAAAATTCAATCAGTAGTTGCATAGCATAACGATAAAATATTAACTTTATTAATTAATGAGAGTCGGTGTGGTGGTGGTGACACTGCCGTCCGCCGGCGCTGAGTTGACCGGAAAAAACAAATGATATGCTGGCCGGCAATATCACGAGAAGTTCGTGCAAATTCTCGTGATAAATTGAAGAGTGGAGGAAATTTGTTGGTATGTATAGATAGAGAAGTAAATGAGGTGGGCGGCACGTTGGCTAAGGAATTGATTTGAAATTTTAAAATTTTAAAAATAAATAATAAATAATAAAAGAGAAATTAAAAATTATATATATATATATATATATATATATATATTTAATTAATTCAAAACTGTTTTTCCCGACTACCGATGCTCACGGGAGGCTACTGTGTGTTTTTCTAAAGATTTCATGCCGTTCATGTTCCTTTTTTTAATTTTATTTTGAATTACTATGGATTTGAATTTACCAAATTGCCCTTCATTCAAAATAAATAAATAAAGGCCAACATTTCCATAATTGCTATGAAATTATGGAAGGTAGACGACATACTCTAGCTAATTAAAGTCCAAATAAATAAATGGGTTTAAATACCATTTTTGCCCCCCAACTTTTTAAATTTGTTTCATTTTTTACCTTCAATTTTCAATAAGTATTATTAAAACATTTGAAAGTTTGAGAGGATATAAAAATTACGGACATTTTTTTATAATTTAGTAATAAAATAAGTAAACGAATATTAAATTAAAAAATATAGAAAAATAATTATAACATTATAATAATTTTTTAAAAAAATCGAATATGGTAATTTAATCAATGTAATAAACGTAATCAGACAATTAAAATCCCCAAACTACCCTACATTCATTACAAAGTCAAAACATCGTCACCGCCCTTTCTATCGGCTACGGGCGTTCACATCAGAAATAATGCTGATCCACTTTACGATTCCGTGAAATCCACGAAGATCTGACGGTGGAAAACCAGTGCCAGGTCGGATTACGCCAACGCCCCACGTAAGAAAGCGACAACGGACAGCCAGTTTGGAAGTAGGTCCCACGCGGTCCTGTGGCTGGATCGTCGGCGCTGATGAGGAGGGCCCATGTTAGTGTGGTGCACCGCGTACACATTATTATCAACGCGCCCAATTTTTTATTTTCTATTTAAAAAAAAAAGATATTAGTATATTGCGAAAATAATAGACGCGTTTTTTGCTACCAACTTCTTGAACACGTCAGGGCTATGGAGGTCTTTTTACAGCGTGGATATAAATTTTTATTTTAATTTCCAAATTTATAATGTGAATATTAAAAACATCTCCAAATGGGTAAATCTCTATTCTAAGGAAATTACAACTTTGAATTTCCAAATAACCAAAATTAGAGTGTCAAAACTCAAAAATAGTATTTTTATCCAAATCTGTCCAAAATTATTTTCTAATTGACCATTTTACCCCTATGACTAGCTATTTGAGATTTTTTTTTTATTGATTAAAATAGGTTTTTTTCAAAAAAAAATTAAATAAATAACGATAGTGTATCGTGAAAGATGAGATGAAAATGATCCGCTCCACAATTTTCAGTGGCTGATGTTATTAGTTTTTATAGACTCTATATTACAACATTTCATTAGATCAAATGCTTGAATACATAGCTTCTGAAGTGTCGTGAGAGGCATAGGGATTTGGTATTATTTGATTGACGTAATTGAATTTTCATCTCTACCCTTAAATACTATTAATAAGATCTAAAACTTAGTTTAGAAGTAAAAATTATTTAATTATTTTTAATATCCAGGTGGATTTTAATCACGTGGGACCCACGAGCCAAATGGAAGGAAGGGGAATGATTCTTATTAATACCTTAACAAATAAGTGGAATTTAAATACAGATAAAAAAAGAAAAAGGATTGCTTTCACTGTGCCCGACAATCAAGTATGAATATATGAAAAGTGCTAAACGCCGCGTTTTGCTTTGCAGAGTCGAAGCGATTCTTTTACCCATTTTCAAAAGGCTTCTTGAAGCAATTTTTGTATAAGATGAAGAAACGAATTTCAACTATTTTCATTTTTAAAAAATTATATTTTTAGGATATCAAAGTCAAATACTTTAGAATAAAAAAAAATTATATTAAAAATGGAATAATAATAAATGCTCTATTTTCCACACTTCAAGTATCCATAATTGTATCTCGAAATAAATAAATAAATCTTTATTTCAAAATTAAATGTACTAACATTTGCTCATGTTTTATTTAAAAAAAACATTAAAGAAAGGTATAAATATTGCATTTTTTATTTTTAAAATTAAATTTACTAATTCATAATAATCTAAAAAAATGGTAGAATTGTTATTGGATTGACGGATAAAAAAAGCAACCACCAACCAACCTAAAATTTTTCAATTTTTTTAAAATTTAACCCAAGTAAATGAAATAATAATAATAATCCAAATCATCCATTAATTGAAACTACCTGTGATTACATGTGGTCCCCACAATGTCCAAAGACAACGTGGATTACTTCCAAGAGAAAATTGGGCCCATACTCCATGTGTAAGAGTAAAGCCAAGCCGAGTGGGACGAATTATGCTGACGTAGAATCCTACGTGTCGCTTACTCATCATATTAAGCTTTTCCATTCACTGTTATTTTGACTTTTATATATATATATTAATGTTATTCTGAATATTTAGTCACATCACTTGCTTGTAAAACTATTTTTCAATTTTTTTAAAACAAATTATATAAAAAATATATTCGGTAAATATTTTTAGATGTTATTTTCCCTGCAATTCTATTTCATTTCAAAGTACAGAAGTAAATATATATATATATATATATTTATTATCCTACATATTAGAGTAATAATTAAAATTTCATAAAATTTAAATATCAAACTTGTATCACTAACATCATCACTAATAAATGTCAAATATTTTTAATTTTTGTATAACCCTATTTTTTATTTAGTCAGGTTGATTCGAAAAAGAATGTTAACCCGCAAACCGACCTAATTTCATCTCGACTTTTATAGTGTTAGGTTGGAATAGTCTCGATTAGCCGGTTCTTAAGTCATATGAACATCTTTAATTAAGTTGTCTAATTTAGATTCTAATAAATATTTTATATTATATTTAAAAATTGAAATATTTTATTGGATACTTCATTGACATTCGGATTATTTTTTAACCTCAAAAGAAGTAAAATTAAATGGGAAAATGGTTGCAAAACTAAAATTTGCAACAACTTTCCATTTTTAGCCCTACGTTTTTGGAAGGTAGCGTACACTTACATAAACAAATTAGTCAATTGAATTAATTAATTGTCCAGTTGAAAAATTCTAGAAAAAATATTTTTTAATTATCAAAAAAAAAAAAAAAAGAATAGTTTATGGATATATTAATTGATAGATTACTAAACCTCCCCACATGGTATTTATTAGGTTGGTTCAAACATTAATATGTAAAGATAATAATTAATATAGTTTTGAATATCATTTTAATTTCAAATCCTTACTCTTATAATTTAATTAAAATTTTATACATTATAATATTATATTAGTTATGACTTATTTTTTAATGTCTTATATCATATTATAATTATTTAATAAAAATATATAATTTCAAAAATAACTTTTGGCTAGGATTTATGAAATTTTTATAGATGAAAAGTTTGAGAAAAAATAATATGAATTAAAATACAAAATAGTGTTTTTTTTATAATGTTTTTATTTTATTTTATTTTGAGTAATTTTATGTAGAACACGAAAAGAATAAAGACATTCTAATAATAATAATAATAAATAAATAAATAAATAAATAAATAAAAAAGCAAAAACGCGTAGGAAAAAAAGAAAGAAAAAAAAAAGCATTGGTCAATAGTGTATGAGCTGTTAGGGACGCAAATTATGGAGCCAAAATTTGAAATTTTAAGCACCACCTTCCTTTTTTATTTTAAATTTGCGTATTCAGCTTAAATTCCTTTTATTTTATAGAAAAAAAAAACCAATTTTTATCTTTAATTTTCAATTTAATTTAATATTTTTTTAGGGACCCGAGAATTTCTGTTAGCACGATAATTAGCTGTTATTTAACATTGAGCTTTTATATTACCGTGATGAGTACTGAAATCACTCGATAAGTTTAAGTTGATTGTTTTAAGGCAATTTTGACCTAACAAAGGGTCTGCAAATATCCTAATGAAGTTCGTGATTGTGTAGGTTGTAGGACTAAATGAAGCTTCGTTCTATAT